TAATCTCAGCACTTTGGGAAGCTGAGGTGGGAGGATCACTTGAGGCTAGAAGTTTGAGACCAGTCTGGGCAACATAGTGAGACTCCATCTCTACAAAAAATAATTTTTAAAAATTAGCCAGGCTTGGTGGCACATGCCTGTAGTCCTAGATACTCAGGAGGCTGAGGCAGGAGGATCACTTGAGCTCAGGAGTTTTGAGTTGTGCCATTGCACTCCAACCTAGGTGACAGCCTAGGTGACTTGTTTCTTAAAAAAAAAAAAAAAAAAAGATAAGATGACAGCAAGAATGAGGGAGAAAGAAAATAATTTTTAAAAAGAAAAGAAAGCAATCAAGTGAGCATTTTTCTCCTATAACAGAGAAGCACACAGGTTATCAGAAACAGTTTCATTATCAACAGGAGAACTCTCCAAAATCTCTTTATCCCTCACTGAGGAAAGATCAAGGTAGAAGGCTGTGTGTACTGCATGAAAATAACAGCCAATCTACTTACAAGGATGGCTGACAAAACTAACATTCCTTTGTAATATTTTCCAAGTATTCTTCAGTTATAACGCAGATATATCAATACAAAAGGAACCTTTCTTTCCAGAGAAACAAAGTTCTATGATTTTCCCAACTCACTGACTAGAAAGGGCTGCAGTATAGTGCATGGGAATCCAAACAGTACCAAGTGGTTTTGCTGATTTGAGGAGACTGAGTTCAGAGATCAGGGATGCCAAGGCAGGTAGAATTTGAAAGCAAAACAGCAAAGAGGCAGCTGCTCAGAAAGAGTGCTCAGGTCATCTACATGGGGTCCTCTTAAGACTTTCCTGAGGCTAGGTACAGTGACTCACACCTGTAATCCCAGCACACTGGGAGGCTGAGGTGGGAGGATCACTTGAGCCGTGGAGTTCGAGACCAGCCTGGGCAATATGGCAAAGCCCTGTCTCTACAAAAAAACCAAAAAAATTAGCTAGGCATGGTAGTGCATGCCTGTAGTCCCAGCTACTTGGGAGGCTGAGGTGGGAGGACTGCTTGAGCCTGGGAGGTCAGCGCTGCAGTGAGCCGTGATTGTGCCACTGCACTCCAGCCTGAGCGTTAGATCAAGATACTGTATCAAAAAACAAAACCAAATACAAAAAAAACCACAACTTTGGCTGTGTAATCTACAAGTGCATGAAGAAACTACCCAATGCTGTGGAAAGAACCGCCTAAAAGGAGTAACAGAGCAATAACCAGTCCATGTTGCCTCCAGCCAAAGTGGAAAGACATAAGACATTGAGCAGCAATGTCCACAGAAAAATACTGCCTTAGCAGTAACTCAAATAAGCCCTAGCAGAAAGGTTGATCTGAACCCATCCTAACAAAGCAAAAAAAAAAGCACACCTTGAAACAATCAAACTGACCCCAAGTAACTTAACCGCCTCCCACAACAAAATCCAAAATATTTTTAAAAATGCAACGAAATCCTGGCTCCAAAAACATAAAATTCTTAATCCAACATCCAACCAAAATTTACATGCAAGTAAAGAAAATATAGAAAATATAACCCATAACTAGAAGACAAATCAATCAATAGAAACAGACCCAGAAACCACATCAATGATAAAACTAGCAGGAAAAAAAAGTTTAAATAACCATTATAAATATACTCCACAAGTTTAAGCAGATAGAAGACAACATGAACATGATGAAGAGAAAAGTGGAAGATAGAAAATATGAGTTATTTAGAATAACTAGTTATTCTAGTTGTTCTTTTCTGACTAGGATTGAGTATCTAAACTATTCCAAATTATTTAGAATAATTACTTAGAACAAATAAATAGAATAGTTTAGATACTCAATCCTAGTCAGAAATAAAATCTACTGAGGCACAGGAGTCCATCTGTGTATGGTTCCCCATAGGTGAGAAAGGCATAGCACCCCTTAAGAGTAAATCAATTTCCAGTCTTTAGCAAATGATAGTGATCGATACTAACGGGATTTCCCAAGTAAAAAATTGTAAACTAACTGCAATAAATGTTTGTGAAAGATTACCAAATACTGCCATCTCTTGTAGTAAACCACAGGCACTGTACTAGACTGAAGTTTTGTCTTTAAAAAATCATCTTGGCCAGGCGCGGTGGCTTATGCCTGTAATCCCAGCACTTTGGGAGGCTGAGGCGGGCAGATCATGAGGTCAGGAGATTGAGACCATCCTGGCTAACACAGTGAAACCCCATCACTACTAAAAATACAAAAAATTAGCCAGGCGTGGTGTTGGGCGCCTATAGTCCCAGCTACTCGGGAGGGTGAGGCAGGAGAATGGCGTGAACCTAGGAGGCAGAGCTTGTAGTGAGCAGAGATCGCACCACTGCACTCCAGTCTGGGAGACACAGCCAGACTCCGTCTCAAAAAAAAAAAAAAAGAAAGAAATCATCTCATATTTTAAAACTTTTTCTCTCATACAATTATCATCTCCACATAAATTACTCAGGCACAGGTCCCACTCCACCATACCAACATGTGGAAAAAGCATTAAGTTCTCATCCTAGAACTGACAAAAGTTCCAGATGCAAGAAAAACAATTGCCTTACCCATCAAGGCCGCATCCTCCAAACACTCCTTTGTAGCATCTCTACTGAGGGACATCTGGGCAGGGTGCAGAGTCACACACTCCTCTTGAGAAAAATACACTGCCAGATCCTCAAAGAGTATTGGTCCCTGAAACATAAGAGCCTGTGTCAGTACAAGAGGGTGGAGGGTCAGTCCCTTACTTAACCTAGGAAGGATTAGAAGAGCTAGAAACATCAGATGCACGGGATAAAAGGGCTTGGTGTAAAAGGTTCTTGAGTGCAGGAGTCGGGTAAATGGGTTCTAAGGGGTGGGGTGAGGGTTGGAAAGAAGAGAGTAAACATGGATATTTTTAGGCAGTGGTATAAGGATGGTGGACTGTGACAATTATAGTCTATCTTGGAAGAGAAAAGATGAGGGAACAGCTCTTGGGGGAAAAACCATTAAGTAAGGATGCTCTAAGAAAAGGAGAAGGTTGGGGCCGGGTGCGGTGGCTCATGCCTGTAATCCCAACACTTTTGGAGTCTGAGGGGGGCGGATGACTTGAGGTCAGGAGTTCGAGACCAGCCTGGCCAATATGGTGAAACCCTGTCTCTAGTAAAATTACAAAAATTAAGGCCGGGCACAGTGGCTCATGCCTGTAACCCCAGCACTTTGGGAGGTGGAGGCGAGTGGATTACCTGAGGTCAGGAGTTCAAGACCAGCCTGACCAACATGGTGAAACTCTGTCTCCACTAAATACAAAAAATTAGCCAGATGTGGTGGCGCATGCCTGTAATCCCAGCTACTTGGGAGGCTGACGCAGGAGAATCATTTGAACCCAGGAGGAAGAGGTTGCAGTTAGCCGAGATTGTGCCACTGCACTCCAGCCTGGGCAACAGAGCAAAATTCCATCTCAAAAAATAAATAAATAAATAAATAAAATAAAATAAAAACAAATTAAAATGAAAATAGCTGGGTGTGGTGGCATGTGCCTGTAGTCCCCGCTACCTGGGAGGCTGGGACAAGAGAATCGCTTGAATCCGGGAAGCAGAGATTGCAAGGAGCTGAGATCGCACCATTGCACTCCAGCCTAGGCATCACAGCGAGACTCCATCTCAAAAAATAAAAAAAAGAAAAAAGAAATAAGAAAAGAAAAGAAGGTTGGGCAGCCCAGGAAGAATCATAAAGAGATAAAGGTTACAGGATTCTGCCAACATCCTTCCCTTTGCTATTTCCTCTCTTTCGTCCCCATGACACTCATTGCTAAGCTCACTCCAGCGCTTCATCCAGGCCTACCCCACCTTCCCTAATGGTGTGATAATGAATCACCTGGGATTTACTATTACTCTACAAGTGCAGAGTCTAGAAATGTGCTTAATTTAAAAATCCATTCAAATTGGATAAGTACCAAATCTGTACTTTTGGGAACCATTCCAGAAAGTCACTTTTAATCCTAGCACTTTGGGAGGTCGAGGTGGGAGGACAGCTGGAGGCCAGGAGTTCCTGGGCAAAGCCGCAAGACTCCATCCCCATAAAGAATTTTTAAAAGTGGCCAGACACTGTGGTATGCGCGCCTCTCAGCTACTCGAGAAGCTGAGGCGCGAGGATTCCCTGAGTTCCAGATGGAGCTATGATGTCAGCACTGCACTCCAGCCAGACAAGCAACACTCCAGCGACAAGGCCAGACCTTATCTCTAAACAAAACAGATAAGACACTGAGAAACTCTCTCAGAGATTCCTCCAAGGGCCCTGCTCCCAGTTGGCAGTTCTGAAAGAAGGAAGTTGGTAAACCACTTCTATATGCCTGGTCTTGGAAAGAAGAACGCTTGGTCAAAGGGCTATTTGGGGCTCAGGTGCACGCCTACCACAACATGAATGCCCAACCCTCCTCCAAAGGAGGGGGTCAGGAAGAGACCGAAAGCAGCAACAAACTTGGACGAAAAAGGTACCTCCACTTACCTGGGCCTCGGGAGTGGGGGGCATGGACGCCATTTGGCGGATGGGGAATGCCTTCTTCAAGACGCCACAGGGACTTCGAGTCGAAGCTGTGGGGGGAGAGAACAGTCTTTAAACGGACCTATTCTGCGGCCAAGCTCCTCCAGTACCCCAGCCTCCCTCGATTACCTCCGAACCCCCTTTAAAAACCTACGCTGACTGCTCCTCCTCCTGGCCCGGCCTCGAAAGGAGCCCACTTACTGCTCGGCGGCTAATGACAGGCTTTGCGCTCCCGGACAGGAGCTGCAGAAAGCGACGCCCGACCGGGACGCGACGAAGAACGCCACGGCCGCTGCAAAACTCCCACGCTCTCATGCTCCTCTACGCAAGAGCTGCGGGAAAAGCCGCCGGAAGCGACCCGCCCCCAGCCCTATCGGCCATTCTGCCCTTTCATTGGTCGGAGTTCTCCCGAAGGGGAAGTCCTTCTTTTGTGTTGACCAATCGAACACCTTAACCGAGGACCTGTAGCTACTGGGCAGCTGCGAGAAGTAGTTTTCCTCCTTTTCTCTAAGCAAGCATTTCCGCTTCCGCTAGCAGGGTCTCCTCTGTGAGCTCCGGGCCTGTTTACCCGCTAGAGTCGAGTCTTAGGGTGAACCCAGAGGGACGTAATGTTTCCGAGAAGAAGGGGAGAAAGAAGACTGGGAGACACCGGAACTCGAAAGAAATTCGGTAACAAAATGTGGGTTTGGCCAACAGTGCCCTGTAGGCCTGAAATTTCGGTCTGGGCAGAGCGGGGTGATTGACAGGCCGGGGGTTCGGGCCTAGCCTGGGCTTGAGCTGTCCTTTGTGTCTTGGGCGGATGGTGGGGCCGTAGAACGTGAAGGAATGTCTTTTTATACGTTCACAACGTTGACATCGGTGTAGACCAGGTTGCTAGGCTCCGACTCAAAGTGTTCTAGAGGCATTATGTATTTTACCCGTAGCTGCACCCTAACCGAGCCGCGTCAGCTCCATAGTCACAGAGGACCCCACGCGGGTATAGAGCCGTAGGTTTGCGTCGCGGGACATTGTTCGCCCCCAGATACCTCACATTCAGCCTACCCTAGAGCCAGTTATTTCCTATTGTTTGTTGGCGGAAGAGGGAGTGCCCTAGTGTAGAGATTTGGAATTGGAAAATTGAACTCCGTCCCAAGCTCTGACACTGATTGGTTGGTAATCTTGGCCAGTTTACAACTTTGCTTTCCTCAGCTGCAAACAGCTCAGGATGCCTCTCTGGGCTAACTCAGAGGGTAGTTTCAGATTATAAGATAATGTAAGTGAAAGAAATTGTCCGTTTATAAAGGTCTTTGGGGGGAAAAAAAAAGAGACGAAAATGATAGGTACCTTCCTTGATAGAAAAGCCTGAAAAGTCTCAACATATTTCCTTATTCTAGTGCCAGGCACATCCCTGTATCTAAAAGCTTAATGAATGGCTGCATGGTTATTAAAACAATATTAGGAGATTTGACAAGTTAGGTAATGTGATTTTGTGGAATATCTGATAGGATAGTTTCAGCTACAAGTAACAGCAAACCCACCGAAATGATTTTCAAAGAGCAGTTGCAGGTTGGTTAATTTGGTGGCCCAGTGACAACATCAAGGTCCCAGTGCTTCTCCTCTGCCACCCTTAGCATGTTGGTAAAGTTGACAGTAGAATCCAGGTAAAATATGCTGACATGTATTGTGTCATGTACCCATCCTAAACTAGTTATTACCAAGAATAAATATCATAATTATTTGGGGCCCATCATGCTTCAGCCCTTGTCACTAGGGGAAGGACCCAGCCTCCCATGATACTCTACCTGCACAAAATCAGGGCTTTGTTACAAATGAAAAGAGATGTGGAAAGTAAGTTAGATAAGAAACAGCAGTATCTGCCACAAATGACATCTCTTGACAGCTAAGAGCTAGACCTTATGGGGATGGATCACAAAAGAGGTACCTGGGGAGTCCCAGTAAAGGTGCTTCCAGGACAGGTGGAAGAATGGTAAGAACAAACTTCCCTACAGGCTAGACCAGTCCAAAGCATACATGTTGAAGAAGAACTAATAGCCTTTATTTGAAGGTGTAAGCCAAATAAATGTTCATTATTGAGTCACTGTGGTGTTAACGTAGTCATCTTTCCCTTCTCGGTTTGTGCTTATCTTTTTTTTTTTTTTTTTGAGACAGAGTCTCACTCTGTAGCCAGGCTGGAGTGTGGTGGCACAATGTCAGCTCACTGCAACCTCTGCCTCCTAGGCCCAAAGCTATTCTTGTACCTCAGCCTCCAGAGTAGCTGGGACTACAGGCATGACCACCAGCTGCCTAAGAGGACATGATGAGTAAGTTTG